ATGAAGCTCATAGCTAGAAGCAGTGGTGGGACCACTTCTCAAAAGGATAATAGCAATATGGCCTCAGAAAAAAAAACATTTTGTCCTACCATTATAATTTTTATTTGCCCCAACTCCATATACCTAGTCTTGACTCTAAAGTTTTTATTTAATTTTCTATTTTTAAAACTTATGATTATACAGGAAAAATGTATGCAGTATAAGGTATACAGTTTGACCTTAAGAATACCGTTGCACCTTTGAAAGTACACTGACACCGACTGTATCACGATAAACAAAAATGCACCTGTACTGGTACCATTTTTTCCTTTATATTTTTACAATATATAAATCAAAAGCAAACAACATTGAGCGATAAGACACTTGTTTTACCCATGATCTCTGAGAGAAATGGCGATACACAGTGGTGTGAGGAAATCATACATGGGTATGCAAAATTATAGTGAACGTTGTGGACGGTGATGGATTTTGACAGCCTTTGAGGTACACTGAGCCAAAACCCAGTCATGGTATTTATGCTTATTTGAACTTGGGATAGTAAACAGTAGTAAACATAACTTTGCAACAAAAGAATGCTGAACTTCCAGTAGTCCATCATTACATGTTCCAGTCATTTTTAAGGTTTTGGTCATATGATCCTCAACTTATATTTGCCAGCCTTTAAGTTTGGGCACAAACAAGTTCTTATGTAGGGCATGTTTAATACTATTTCTCGCCATTTAGTATTGCGTGCCACGATCCATACAAGGAACGCTTTTTAATATCTCGGTGCATTAATACAGAATTGAGTGCTCATAAAAGGTGCACGTCAAATATTTTACAACAGCTTTGAACTCAGCAAATCAGATTTCAGAATTGTAACTATACTCTATATATTTTTATGACTTGCATCCATTATTTTAGGTTTGCTGGTAAATGATTAACCGACGACTAATGACATTCAGTCATCAGTCAAAAGAATTTCTCTATAAGTGATAACATACTCATACAGCTTTCATCCATAGCCTGAATTAATGAAAAAGAATGTGGTTCCTCTACAATCCACGTGAAGAATAACAGAAATCAAACACCTCATAATGCATCCAGGAGAGTCAGAAGGGAAAGTGAATGAGGGAAGATACCTAGTTGGCACCAACAGTTCATGTGGAATACAGAGGCATCTTTGTCTAGCACAGCCTAGTGATTAGTGCTGTTGCATTGTTTGTGTCAGTTTTCACTTCACTGGTCTTGTCCAACTTAATCAAAACTATTATTCAAAGATCCAGGGCTGAGAGTTCCTCCTCCTTTTGAGAAAGAGCACATCAACTGTAGCAAAGGGAAAAGGGGTGGAGAGAGAGGGAGCTCTATGTCATCTCTAGACATTTTTGAAACTCGCAAATCTGTTGAGGCATTAATGCAAAGCAATACGAGATAAATGTTTTAGCACTTTAGGAAACAAATTTCTGCAACAGCATGAAGTTTTCTATTTGATTTGCTGTGTGGTTTTGAAATGTTTATTGCAAAACTTCATAGGAGCTAATCAGACAGTGCAAGAACTCAGCTGACTTGATTTCCAGGCTATATTAGTCCTTCCTAATGTGCAGCTAATCTGCTGCATGTGTTGACATGACTCCCTCCTGAAGCTGCAGTTCGAACAGCAGGATCTCAGAGTTGCCTCTCACTCTGCTTTCCTGCATCTAATATCTCCCAGTGCTCACCCATTCTCACGAGAGATGCTGCAGGAATGACTCAGCCACCATTATTCACCCTGCCACGGTCATCCACAGACTTCACACCTGGCCAGCCAGGTCAATTTTGCATATAGGGGCTCAGTGTGGGAATTAAAAACCAGAATTCTGCTATTGTCTGCTTACGGTACTCAAATCAGCGCAGGCCACACTGTTCTTCCTCTCTCTGCAGAACTGCTGACGTCTTTGTGTCAGACCTGCACTGAGGATTTTCTGCAGGAGGTGTGTTGGTAACCAGAGATGGCAAACACGCGACATTAGTCAAGAGAGAGTTCAGAGGCAGAGCACATTTCAAAGTCTTACTCCAGGTGTCGCCTGTCACTCGAGATCTGTGGTTCAAACGAGCAGAACAGGTCCTGTTCTGAGCAGGCAGGGAGCTGCAGAAATAAATCAATAATTGCATAAAATAACTAAATTAACGTCACTTTTTCAAATCTTATGCGGCACAGGAAAAGACTGTTCTCACTGTGAAAAGGCCTAACCAACAGAAAGACAACAGACAATGCTGCCTTCAAACTTTTGATACAAAGTCTTTTGACACTAATTTTGATGTCAGTCATTTAAAGCTGTAAGCACTTCTAACTAACTTTTGAAAAAATAACACATTTTTCAAGTTCACATTTTTCTAGCTTGGTTTGACAGTTACTGTCTCAAGCACGTGTGCAATTATTGTTCAGCTAAATTGAAAACAATATAAAACAAAAAAAAATGCATCTTTTACAGTTTTGCACAGACTGTACTACTGACAGAAAATCAAAACTCTAGGGCTGTAACTATCAAATATTTTTATTTTTGAATACTTTTTGTCTTTCAGTGTTTCCTTTTAAATAAAACGTAACTGAAATGCTATTACAGGGTACAAAAAATAAACACCAATCTTTTTAAAAAAGATTTATAAAAAGCAGCATAAGCCCAGTCTGGAACCTGAAAAAAGTCGTTGTTTTAATGTAATGAGTGATGCAGGAGAGTAGAGGAGAGTCTTTTCAACCACTGTCCTAAAAACACATTTTTGATTTTTGAAAAAAAGTCCAATGCAACTACTTTTTGTGATTTATTGGTCATTGAAGACATGACCTCCCACAGAAATTCATAATGCTGTTCACTTGAAAGCAACAGGTACTGCTTTTTGGATGACCCCATTCTTTAAAGGGTGCAATATACAGCATACCAATGCATTCTATCATGCAAAAAAGCCAGTACAGTTCAAAATACTAATCACCTTGAACTAAACCACAACATGCCATTCCAACTCTCATTCTTGCTCATCAGTCATTCCAGCTCATTTACCAGCACCTCGTGCCTAAGACGCAATACCAAAGCCGAACAAAGGAGCTGTAACTGAGATACATTTTGCTTGTTGGCAGGTGAGGACAGGCAAGCCCACCCCCCTAGGGGCTTTGGGCTTTCGTCTCACAGGAACCTGAATGCTGGAGCCTTCTCCAAATCCATTAACAGTGTGCCCGTCAATCAGCAGGGGCAGGTTTGGGCAAGCGTGCAGGGCTAGGCCTCGGCTGGAACACACCTTAGCTTAGCACAGAGAGGTACGAGTCCGGAGTGATAAAGGCACACCTAGATTCTGCCAATTGCCTTTCTGACACGTTCACCCAGCCAAGACAGGGCGAGCTTCTGGGCAGGGGTGTCTCTATAGAGACAGCAGACTAAATAAAATTACAAATGAGGTGCTTTCGTTTAGAAGTTTCAACTGCTCATCTGAACAGCAAGTTCTGGCATGGCAGCACACTCTGGCTCCAGTATCTATAATGCAGCATCAAAAGGCAGTCATAAAAGACTTTTGTTGAAAAGGCCATTTCAGAGGTGTTAGAAATGCCCTTGATTATGTAAGACTCAAGGCAAGTATTCGTTAATGTTTACACTTGAGTCTAACTCTTATCAATATTCTCTTGAGCACTGCTGTACTGAATCAACACACCTTTCTTTCAAGACAAAAAGGGAGGAAAAGGAGGCAGGGAGGGACAGGTGAGGTACGGAAAGGGAGCGAAAGACTGTTTTTTGTTTGTGTATGTGTTGGAGTGTATTCATGGCAATGTGACTCATGTAGGTGACAGTTTCACTATCAACTCAAGGCCTTCCGGCCACCACACACTGTCTATACACAGAGTGCTAAAATTTAAAGCCAGGGCTGTCCATGGTTTCTTCTATTGTTCACATAGATGGAAGTGCTCCAAGTTTAGCTGGGAGAGCTGCCAACAGTGTCCCTTTACCTCACTCGCTCCATCCACCTTAACACTCTTACCTAACTCGTGAACTTCAGGAGAGGGATATTTAAAACATTCTCTGCGCACAGCAGCAGCGCAGCACTTCTTCTAAGTTTGCAAGTGGGGCAGCAGACACGTAAATGACTTTGCACACAGAATCCTAAAGCATTTTCCCAAAGCTGAGGCTAAAGCTAAAAAAGTAAAGTTAATTATCCTTGTGTCCTTGACTTCAGCCTTTTACTCTGAAGTATGCAATGTGCTCCTCCAAATGAATGGATACATAAACTACACCTGTCAGTATCCTAATGTGCTTAGTAAGAAACAGGTTTTTTTTTTTTAACCTAAAACTGTTATGGCATAATTTGCACAAAAATGTTTTGATGAAATATCAGCATGGCTTAAGACACAAAGGCTTTTAATTACACAGGCTAAACTTCTGGGTAATTGCAAGTAAAATTTCTAAAAATGCTTTGTATCAGTATTTTTGTACTTTGCCTAACCATTTTAACAGTGATTAAAAAAATGTGATCATTCAAGAGAGTTACAGTGTTGACCTGAGACCAACTCTTCTCTCCATCTAATGATATTCATTGGGTTCAGAAACCTGAAATATATCCAAGAAGACTGATACAAGTAACTAAAGGCTTGCGGGCAAGGATAACAAAACAAAAAAATCCAATTTTACAACACCTTTCTCAATTACTCATTCTTCCTGTCTTTTGCATACATCTGTTCTTTCAGCAGTTAATCTCTCCATCAATCCATCCAGTATGCACTGTTACATTTGTGCATAATTTCAGTCTATAAAAATCTTGGAGTCTATAAATCGGCTAAGCAACAAAATCTCATTTATTGCCGTGAACAATGCAACTAATCTCTGGAGCATAATCTCTATGGTCACATGTGAGCTATATGGCTTTAGTAATTTACCTGGATCTTTTGGGCCTCATTCAATTATTTCAGAGTGTGGAGTCTTCTAAGAGAGCAGATCCTCTCTCAGAGGTTGGGGGAAGCTGCATGGCTTTGGGAAAAGACTCATGAATTTCACACAGCTTACCTTGACCTTTGCTGAAGTCAATGCCAGTTAGTGTCTCTATGGCAACAGGCAGCGGTTTTTTATTCCTGGCTGGGGGATCTCTGCCAGCTGGTTGGCTTTCAGTGCAGGGCTCAGATTTGTTGCTGGACGATGGGCCTTTTCTCTTAAAGCGACTAGTGATAAGTTGCCAAAGGTTAGGCTCTGCAGAAGTTGTTTTTACAGGCTTGGTGAGTTTGACAGGGGCTAAAGGGACCTCTATAACTGAGACCTTTCCCCTGGTCTGGAATTCTATGTATTGTTTACCCCTCAGGTCCTCATCTTGCTCATAAGCAGGAGACAATGTCCTGCCAGTCAGATAAGAGAATGGACGAGTAGAACGCGTTACATCCTCTCCTACACTCGTTGTCCGTACCCTTTCTCGTGTACCATCTTGCTCTGGCTGGTTACGATTCCGCCTAACCCTTAGGCTTAGGCTCCTCCGCAAGGAGCTAAATTTCTTCTTTGGTCCATCTGGCTTGCTGCCAGTAGGTGCAGACATGGCTGTAACCTCCTTATCCTGTGCCTGTCGACCAAACAGTCTCCATCTGAAGCCGGAGCGAGGCAGGCTAGCAGCATCGCTACAAGTGCGGTTAGCCAGCTCGTGCTGGGAACTGCTAGCCTCCTTCAGCTCCAGAACAGTCATGCTAACAGGCCGTGGTCTTCCACTCCTTCGTAGGGGTCGGTGTGCTAGGACCTCCTGTTGTGGGTATGGGGGCAGACGGAAAGAGGGAGGCATGTCAGTCTTGAGGCCATCGACAGCACGGAGCTCAGCTCTCCTGGATCTGCGCTGCTGGGGGACGTCCAAGCAGCCAATTTTACCTGCGTTAGTCAAAAGCAGAGTGTTGGACTGGGAGGCGGTAAACATACATACACTACGAGGTCTCCTTGACCTATCCTGGGGCCAAGCATTCGTAATCTGTTCCCTCTGAGGCTCATCTAAGGAGCCATACATGCTCACCGTCTTCCTGCTGCCAAAGAGACGCTCCCCCAGGGTAGACCTCCGCAGGACCACCACGTGGGGTTCTGCTGTGGCCTCTCCTGAGGCAACATTACAGTATTCCTTCTCAGGTATATGGCCAACTATAGGAGATGTAGCAAGAAGTGTTGTTCTCTCTTCTGAGGCTAAGTCGCAATCTGCCAGAGAGAGATTGAGCATAGAACTGTCCTGGAGCAGTGCAGGAAACCGGTCCGTTCTCATTCCTGGCTCTTCCAACCTCCTCCCTCCACTTCCCAGAGCTCCCGTGCTGCTCAGGTAAGGCCACCTGCCGAGCTTCTTCTCAATCAACCTCCTCCTCTGCCTCGGGCTCTCTCCTTGTTCCTCCCTCTTCACCTCCTCCTCCTTCCTTTCGATGAGCCTCAACCCTCCAGACTTGGCCTCTCCTATTTGCCCACCCTCTTCTCCGCCTCTCAGAGTCCCATTCAGGAACACTGAGACTTGGAATACAGCTGTTCCAGCTTGCAGGTGCCGAATTGACCCAGCTGTGCCCTCAGGAATCACATCTGCAGCCGGGCTGCTCAGGACTAACATTGCAATGCATGCACACATCCACAAGCCCAGTCTCGCAAAAGCCTCTCTCTTCACCTCTCCTTCCCTCTGCCTCTTTAACACAAAGCTGCTTCTGGCTGCTCTCTGAGTCTTTCACCTCTGGGCCACATTCCAAACACAGGCATAATCCCTCACCTCTGACATGTAAGAGAGGAAGACAGAGAGAAAAAAAAGACCTGAAGACAAGCCTCAGCACGACCTCACCAGCACCTCCAACAACCCCTCCAGTTAGCGCTAAAGCAAAGCCACTGACATAAGCAAGATGGGAAAACCCACTACTTCTGTTTTTATTCTACTGTTCCTGGCAGAAGCTAAGGTGTTGGGGGGGGCACATTTGCCTGGCATATAGAGAACTGTGCTTATTGCATTGATAAATGTAGCAACAAAAAAGCTGCATATTCTCCTGTTGGCTGATCGTCTGAGCAATCACAGATCCAGCAACATTCAGCAAAAGGCACATCTCTGAATTTCTCAGTTCACGGCAGAAAGGCAAGAGGCTGAACTCCATACAGTTCCACAGAGGACGACAGCAAAATAAGGAAGGGATCCCACTGGCCAGAAGGTATTTCCACAGTACCTGTAAAGGAAGTCCTGTAGGGGTTGTAGCTTATCAATGCAGACTGAAACAGGAAAATCAGTAGACTGCAGGGGAACCAACAACGACACGATCCTAGAAAACAATTTGTGAAAGTGCACATTGTACCCCTAAGGCCCCCACTCTCTCTCTCTCTCTCTCTGTTTCTGTCTCGCTTTCACCCTGCTCACCGTAACCCCCCACCCTACGTTAACTCCTTTCATTCTCTCGCCACCACGTTTTCGTCCAACTAAACAAATGCGGAAAATGGCAAACAAAAACAGCCGGTTCTTTTCCCAGGCTTGCAGTGGGAAGAGCACAATGCCCAACATTTCTCCTCTAGGTTTTGGCTGCACTCAGGATGTGTCACAAGGATTTTTCATGGCATGACCACCTGTGTGCAGTACAGGTAGACTAGATGAGCAACTGTTTTAAGAGAGATCACTTACTAGCAAAAAACACACACACTGCTGCACGGAATTGGGGGGTACAAAATCACAATCTTCATAAGTAGAACCGAGCCTTCTTCTAATGCTACCCAATCATTCTACAATTGTAATTTCAAAGCTCAAACAGATTCACCATCAGCCTTCCATAAAAGTTTTAGCAAGAAACATCTTTAAAAATGTTTTATTTTTTAATGTTTTTTCTATACTTGCCATAACCAAGTTATTACAATGCGCATTTGATTCAACTGAAGGTACAGTGCATTTTGCTTTTTTCCTACATAAATTTTACATTAGACATCCTTACTAAGAGTTCCCATCAAGAACCTTATGTTTCTCTTTGTGTTTCCATGGTGCTGAATTGCATGCCATCTAAACCAGTGAAATTTAAGTGAAGTTTAATCCTGTTATACAAAAGAGGCCAATCAGATCATTTCAATAACCTTTTCTGCTGGATATAGGGAATTTATGATGCAGTTGAAAAGAGCTCCCTCAGGTGGTTTCTAAGAGTATTACCCTTAATGGCTTACAAATCCCAATCAGTAGAAATCAGTGTAATGACCATTAACTGGAGCAGCACAAGAGATGTGCTGAAACGGCAGAAGTTGTGTAAGTCTAATATTGCCAGTCCAAAATCCTCTCAAGTTCTACATACACTACATTTGATTCATCACCAAAGTTGTAAGACATTGATTTTGTAGTGAATAATGCCAAGCAGAAGTCATCACAAGCTGGCATGGGAAAAGAGCAGAGTGCTCTCTGTCTGTCTCTTAGCAGCACAGAGAGAACACTAGTCTGCAGATCCACACAATCTGTGGCCGAATCCAGTTTACTCTATTATAACAGAACGTCCACCATCTGACAGGCGTGAAGCAAAGAGCTTGGCGGAGTACACATCCTGCTGCAGACCTACGAGAAGTTTTGTGTTCTCTGCTAAAAATTCTTCTTTCAAGACAAAGTCAAGTTTTACCCAAAAAACAGTCTTTACAAACCTCATTGGTTCAATCTCTAGAGTAGCACAATAGAAAAAAAATCATATTTCTCAATAACAGATCATGATCTTCCCCCAACTACCAACTGTTTGCCATCATGGAGGCTTCCTAACGGCAAGCCTTGGACTGCAAACTCAGATTTAATCTGTGAAACCCACATTGTTGCCAGTGTTTTCTAGAGCAATAAAAAAATATACTTCTCAAACATCTTATCAGTGAACAGAGTCAACCACCATGCACGTCTGTTCACCAGAATTATTCAGCAGAATCACTTGTGCGTTACCATAATGCCCGTCATACCAGAGAGTGCAATTCCAAAAAGCTAAAACCGCTGATACAAGATAAAAATGTGTTTTAAGTTCCAGTGTCTAATTCTTCATTTTGAAACTACTGTTCACCACTTTCGCCCTCGTCCCCATACAGCTCAGGTCAAGTAACTTGCTGTTTATAAATAGTGCCGATTCTTAAATGGAACCCTACCTGGTAAAATGTAAAGATCTTAACATGGCATAAATGTCACAAACTATTAAAATATGTGGCAAACAACACAAAATCTTGTATACTAAAAATACACAGGTTTGTTTGACATGTTTGAGACATGGATATTGACATTTTTAGACACACAGTGCACGGTAGTTGGATGACATCAAATGGTTGCCTGGAGGTAACATCAGTTATTCTGGCCAGTGATGTGGTTCCAAATAGGATACACAAATACAGTGCCACATTGTGCCGTCTTTGGGTAGAATCTTTAGTGGAAGGGCAATAAAGAAAGTGCTGGTAAACTTCACATCTTTTCTAGCAATAAGCCTCCCAAGCAGACAGCATTTATCAGTCTACATTTCTGCAAATTTTCTTGAGATGAGCTATTAAACGTAGCATAATGTCTGTATTGACCTTCAAATAAGTTTAATCATGCGTCACCTGTTGTGAACAAGCAAATGACATTTATGTGGACATTAAAGCAGAGAAATGAAGTGTTTGAAAGAAGATATATGAGCTAAACTGCCATGACTATCGCTAATCTAATATAAGCCCCCATTGGCTACCGCTGAGCAGGCCTATACATTAAAATATAGCCCATATGCTGATTTGATTTTGGGCCTAGCCCAGGAGTGACTGGGATAAACAGGCTAGTGGGGCTACCCTTTCTTTCAAAGAAAATAGGCATCAAAATAAGGATTCATTTTTAGCACCCACATTATTTTACCTGCTGTTAATAACCAGCTAGAAGCTGATTATTTTGGACTGTCAAAGGTTTGGATTTTGAACTGAAAGTTCATAAAATATGAACTGGCTGATATACATCTTGCCCAAGCTGTAGATTCTGTGTGAGATTAGACATGTATACACAGAGTGAAGGCCCATTTTTAAAATCTGATTGGCTGAGACACGCTTGTTGCAAACGCAATTCTTCTTCCACTGAGAGCTGGATACAAACTGTGAGTATGCCACTGCACTTCCATGTTAAATCCAGAAACAGTTTGCTGAATAAGAAGCTTGTATTTATCCAATTTACACTACTGCAATAATGATAATTTCCAAAAGACACCTTATAGGATTTGCAGTATTATCTTAGTGTCATGCTATCAGAGGTGCTATAGGAACATTGCTATTTCCCAGAGTCCTTCAGTAATGATTTAAACTTAAATCTCGTCATGTTGTGCTTCATGCTGAAGTCGATCAGTGCAATGTTGACATGAAATATACTATGATTGTTCTCTTAGCTTGCTATAGCGCTAGGTAATAGTACATCAACACATTTAAACATCTAAGTGTGACTTTTAGTTAGCTACACAGCTAATGTCATGTTTTGTTGCTGTAGCTGTCTACAGCGTGTAGGTTTTTTTTTTTTTGTAACCCTCCCTAAACATACTTTATTCTGTAGGGGTTTCTAGCTATCAGTCACTGGGATTCCTGCTTTTGTTGGAATTTGTCTATTGTTTGCCCATTGTTGGAACATAGCCTATTGTTGGCTGCAAGCTGCAAACAATAGGTTACACTGATTAACATATCGGAACATATTCAAGGCCATGTGGTGCCGTGCAGGAGCAGCACGGTTAGCACTTCTGATAACGATGCCAATCTACGGGTAGCAGAATTTTTTAACAGTTTTAGAATCAACCAAATATTGAGCGTGTTTTACATAACGTATGTTAATAGTTTAGGGTATGTACACATATTACACATATTACGGTCAAAATGGTGTTACCAGTAGTTGTTCTTTTCAGTGAAAAACTGGCTTGTCAAATAAAAGGACACTGAGAATGTGTGAAGAAGCCACTGAAAGCGAATGACACTCAAGCACATAGATAATTATTTGCCCAGCAAATAATAACTACATACTTAATTCATAATAAATACACATACATACACACATACACACACAAGCTAACGGAAAGCTAACGGATCACTGGGTTCAATATTAATTTTACAGTCATAGCATCCGTTACAAACCACTCAAAACCAGACCCAGACTGTCACTCAAAAGGTGTAGGCTCACGTTTTATACTTTTAACACAAGACCCAAGATAAAGTCAACACTAAGAAACTATTGGCAGAACAGCATTAAATATCAGAACAGCATAAAAATCTGTGGTAATAAAGTGTTAAGTTATTACTTTGTGGAACATTCAATGGATCACTGCGACTTTGGTACTAAATAGTACCATTTAGTCAAGATCAAAAGCGTGTCAACATCAAAAGATCACATTTCCATTCTCTTGATCTCTCTCAGGTACAGCACTACAAGATCAAGACTCCAGCTTGGTCATGCAGAGCAGAGAGCGCAATTACCTAAATAGTACAACATCCTCCTTCAGTTTTATTCCATTCAACATTGATTACTTTTCTGTGCATCACTTCAGTCACTAATGGACTGAAACATCTAACAGTGACGTTTAGTAACTAAGCTTAGTGAATAACACAGCTTAGTGAATAATGTGAGAACATATACACCTGATTACAACAGTAACATATTTAACATAAGATCACTAAAGGTTATGTCATTACCTGAGTCTTCAAA